TTTTTTTTTTTTTGGATTTTATAATCTGTTGCAATCTGCACAATCTCTGTTTCAGGATAAGTTTGGCTCTACATGGACCATAATTGCTTCTAACTTCTTGGATGAAAGTCAGAAAGGTCATTATGAGGTAATCTACTTTTACGAGCAACCACGAGTTTTTGATAGTTGGATGAATTGTAATAGCATTTGAAAAAACAAATCAAACCTTTTAAATATTCCTTCGATAATCTCAATCTAACAATCTTAAGAAGACTCGAGTATGAGAGCTCATTAGGGGCCTTTTGCTTCGTAAATTTACAACTTCTCCTAGCAAACAAATCTAAAGTAATTTTTGTCCTTTTATTTATTTATTTTATGTGATTTTACATTTAGTCCATATTTGAGTAACTATTGCCAGTATCTAACAAGTTTGGGGAAAAAAAAAAATGCCGAGAACTAAAAATAATAGTACAAGAAAACATTTAACCTGATGCTACTGACTCATTCTTTTGTAATTAATGTAGTTCAAAGAAGACTGCAATACTGAAAAGAAAATTGCATCCAAGCTGAAGTCATGCCTGGAAAAATCTATCTTGCTTGTCGAGAGTGAAGAAAAAGTTCGACGTAGCCTATTTGATCTTATTCAGGTAAGGTAAATGTCGGTGAAAACAAATAATCTGAAGTCCTCAGTTATCGTTTAAGCACGTTCATATCGTGTTATCATTCTCGATTGCAGAATGTAGTTCTTATTAGAGATCCTGAAGATTCTGGAAAGTTCTACCCCCGTTTCAACCTAGAGGACACATCGAGTTTTAGTGATTTGGATGTGCACAGGTAAGTAGAATACCAAATTGCTGGCTCATCAAGATAGCTTCATTCTTTCAATGAACTCGAAGATTAACATTATGAGTATATAATCTAGTTACAAAATAGCCCACTTGCGTTTAAAACCACAAATATATACAAACAAAATGGAAAAAAGAGTCCTGTTAATTCTATAAGATAACTGTTTTTTCTTCTGCCCATTTTTTTTTTTTTTTTTCATATTAACCTGAACTTTAGGGGTAGTTAATTTCGACTGTTCGTAATTAGACCTTTATTATATTAAAAATAATTTTTTTTTATCAACACCTACTGTTTTGCAGCAAAAATGTTCTGAAAAGACTATACTACGATTACTACTTTCAGCGGCAAGAAAACTTGTGGCGTCAAAATGCCTTAAAGACATTGCCTGTACTTTTGAACTCGTCCGATATGCTGGCTTGTGGAGAAGATCTTGGAATGATTCCTTCTTGCGTTCACCCTGTGTGTATATATATATTTATTATATGTACATACAATATTTTTCTAATTGTGAAATTCACTGTCTGAAAAATATTAATTTACGGTGGAATTATTTGCTTTGCAGGTCATGCAAGAACTGGGTTTGATTGGATTACGCATACAGCGCATGCCTAATGAGCCTGATCTGGAATTCGGTATTCCTTCACAATACAGTTATATGACAGTAAGTTCCGTTTTAATTATGATTCGTTCGTAATCGTCCTAGATTTTCATCGAACATTACATTTGATTACAATATTCTTTGTCCTGAAAACACTAATCAAGATAATAATGGCTCTCTTTCTCTCTCAAGTATTCATCTAATTGTATCATAACTCGTGGCTCTTAAGTGTTAAACCAATAATCAAACAAATTAAGAACCAGAAATAAAAGGCTAATAGTATGAGATTTTGTTTTTAGTTTTCAAAAACTCAAAAATAGGAAGTTATATTATGAAATCATAATTTTTTTTTCAATCCAGGTATGTGCTCCTTCGTGTCACGACTGCTCGACTCTTCGTGCTTGGTGGGAAGAAGATGAAGAGAGAAGGCGCCGATTTTTCCAAACCATTGTGGGGTCTGATCTGCTACCGCCAGATCTCTGCACTCCCGAAATCGCACATTTTGTTTTGCGCCAGCACATAGAATCTCCTTCCATGTGGTCGATTTTTCCGCTTCAGGTATTCCAAAACCTATTCATACACTCACATAGTGCTGTAATCGAACCGAACGAGCCAATCTTGGACGTTCGGGCTCGTGTTCGTTTACGTTCGAACAATGTTCGTTCATATTTGTTCATTTATTTTTCGAGCAAAAAATTGTGTTTGAGCTCGTTCGTTTAATTGCTCTTCAAAGTTCGAGTTCGTTCGTGCTCAAATAATTTAGCACATAAACTTTTTAAGTTTGTTGAAACTAAAAAATAAAATAAGAATATTTTTATATTTTAGTTTTTTTATTAAAGATACCATGTAAACATATAAAAAATAAAATAAAATTATATTAAATTAATGTTCGTGAGCATTATCGAACGTTCGCGAACGAACTCGATTGTTAAGGGGGTGATTGGATATGAATTCAACTAATAAAAAACTAGTTTATTTTTAACTATAGTTAAGTTTGAAGAAAAGTAGTATGATTAGTTGTTAGTGGATATATTAAAATAATATATAAATTAAAATAATTAAAGTTGATTTGATGTAAAAGTAGGAAAAATGATTGGAAGTGATGGTTAGTTTAAATTATGTGAGTGGATGAATAGTAAATTAAAATTGATGTGATGTGTAATAATGATTGGTTGATATTATTTAATTATATTGATGATATCGGAGATAGTGGAGTTGAGTTAAACTTAAGTTAAATTTGAGTTTTGAGTGGGATATTTACTGTAGAAAATGTAAACAATCACGCCCTAAACGAGCCTAATTTCTGTTCGAACTCACCTCGATCAGCAAATGAACGAGCTTTTGTCGAACACGAATGAACTTTTATTCGCGAACGTTTAACAACCCCATATCGATATGGGGTTGTTACGGGAACTCATGAATATATATATCTTTAGAGTAATATGTTTTGCGGGCACTCGTGAATGAATTCGTAGAGGAATAAAAAAGGTGAAGTTGTTGCCTCGTTTCTGGAAAATGAACCGTGTGTTGTGATTTCTTCTAACAGGATTTGCTGGCACTCAAAGAAGAATACACGAACCGCCCGGCAATGGAGGAGACGATAAACGACCCCACAAATCCTAAACACTATTGGCGATTCCGTACGTCGATATTTTCAGCCACTCCCGTACTTTTTCTCGGTTTATGCACACACACACACACAAATACACTAGAATCTTTTGTTGATTACATGAAACCCAATTAACTTTGATAAATTATGAATTCCAACGACGGAAATTCTTACGTAAAATACGTGTTTTCAGTGTTACGATTTATTATTACGTACCCAGTATATTCCCAACTGGTTGGGGTCTGGAGGGTCAGTTGTACGTAGACCTTACCTTTGTAATTATACAAGGAGGCTGTTTCCGTAGCGATCCAAAGTGCATAGCGTCGTTTGATTCATTTTTTTTCTAGAAACTTCACTAATAGAAGAAGCACTAGAATTTAATTCAACCATTTTGATCTAGTCCATTATTAGCACTATGTCAGGAGAATTGTCAACAATGACTTTCCAGCTCCATTTGCAATGGACAAATACGATTTATTATTATTATTATTATTATTATTATTATTATTATTATTATGAGTTGATTTTTATTTATTTATTTTTTTTTTCAGGAGTGCATGTAACGATAGAGTCCTTGCTGAAGGATAAGGAACTCGTGTCGATTATCAAAGGTCTCGTCCATGGAAGTGGAAGATCGATCCCTTCTGCAGGAGATGACGTATTTTTGACAGAAAAATCGAGAACGGGTGATTCAAGTAAGCTACAAGAAGCTGCAAATGTGATTCCTGAGAAAGCAGCAATTATAGTACCTTGATAACATTTACTGATCCTTTTATCCTTGTTGATACTTCCAATTTTATTTTTGAATTTAATAAATTAACAGATGTGTTCTCTTTATGGGAAATAAACAAGTATACTCTGCTTCCTGTGGAATTCTGGCTATTATTTTTTAACAAGCACGGGTGTTATCCCCCTAATATATTAATTCAGAATGCGGCTTGAGCCTAAGTGGCATGCTCTCATGTTTCAAGATTCTATGTGTCAAACTTACATACTTCGGTATTGGGTTTGGATAGATTTTAATTTACTTCCAATCCAATTAGGTCCGGACTATCCATAAATATGTTGATTACTTATGGTCATGTTTTAAAAATTAATAATTTTTTTATTTTTTATTAGTTTTACTTTTACATATATAATATATCGAATTAATCATCTCTTGATGAGCTTCGATTTAATATCCATATTGTATGGTTAATAAAAATAATTTATATTTATATTTCAAATAGTTATATGATATAAGTTATAAAAATTATTATAATATAACACATGTAAATCACACAAATAGCAAGTGTCATTTTAAAATATATAATAATATATTTTTTTTGTATAAAAGTAAATAAAATTGAAAATAAATTTTTTTATTAATTTTAAAATTAAGAATAATTTCTTAACAAATACCCGTATAATACACGGGACTTATAATAGTACGAGTTCATTTGTTATTGCATAATTGTTATTTTTACTTTTCACCATATAATATTCATCATATACAACTTTTTTTTTTTTTTTTTTT